ATTTCCTAAAGACTCCTTGAGGCACTCACAAGCACTTCTCTCTCATTTCTCCTGGCTGATTTAGTTGAGGTTTTTTTTCCCCCCTTTAAATATTGAAATCTAGAAGTGATGCCTCCTCTTGCTTTGGGCTCAGCATCTATCAAGTTTTACTGTACGAGACTCTGTTGGAGACTTGTGTCGCCTGCTCTATGGTTCTCATTCCTGTTCACTTCTCTCCCCTGCGTTTAGCGTAAAACACTGTCTGGGGCTCCCTTCTCTGCTGCTAACACTGACGCTTCCTTCTCTGTCTAAAGGCCAGCTTGGATGATGCAAATGCGAAGAGCCTCTTTCCCCAGAAGATGGCCAGAATGGCTATCCCTGAGGAAAAGGCTTGAGTGCTTTGAAGAATTTAAAGAGTCGACACTCTAACAACATCTTGCATTCATGACAGAGTTGAACTCTAGGGACACAGACTATTAGAGATGATGAAGCTCTTGATGGGGAGACAAGGAACACATGTTCTTTGCTCAGGCAGGCGCTAACCGGCTGCGGGACTATTGCAGGATAATCTTCCTTTATCTGCAGGATTATTAAAGGAATTCACAGTGGATACCAGACGTATGCATTTAGACCTTCAGAGGATACATAAGAAATGCCCAAAGCTGCAATTTCGTGCCCTTAAATATAAGAAGAGAAATTCTTCAAAATTAGCCTGCGTTATAAAGATACATGGAAGCTTTATTGAAATGCACTGCGTGGAGATACGGGTTTTAAAATGTCAAGCAAGATTATCTTCAGGGCCTTTAATTTCTGATATTTTTTGGAGAATAACTCTAGGCTCCTTTAGCTTCTTGAATGTTAGCTATGTCTGTCATTCTTTGGGGAGATACTGTGCTCTCAGGCAGTCTGCTATATAGTTTAGGATACCCTCGGGATTCTGGCCTCTCTAGTTTCGCCCATGAAGATAAACACTTCCTTTTACTCAGCAAGAAATATAATTAAAAAACCAAAGAGCTGAGTTCATTGAGAAGGAAGCCTGACCCTCCCTCCCAGGGCCCCAAACTTGGCTCTGTCAGAATTGCAACTCTGACTGAGTACAGGGTGGAAGTAAGTTCCTAGCCTTTTAGGTTCTGCGCTAATTGTTGACGGGTTCCAGGACATACAACCCCAAAATACTTCAAGCTAAAGGAATTCGAGAAAACAGCAGAAGCAGGAAGGTTATTCTGACCTACGCTCCACCCTTCTTCCCCAGAGCAGACCATAAAATCTAGGAAGGATTTATGTGACCTTCCCTGAAATAGATCAGACCCTTCCTTCTGTAAGAGGGGCTCTTATCTCAGAAGGCACAAGGCAAGGACAGGAATCCAAACAAACTAAATGCCTTGCTAAATGCCCTGTTTATTATCATTGGATCATATACTCCCTTTGTCCAATTGTATTTCTTCAAGATTTGGTGCTCTTTACCATGCTTAGCATAAAAACAAACACGCAGCTATTTCTTGGGTCCTTAACTCCTTTATAATGGTCCTGGTGTCACTTTTAACTCGTGTTAAACAAGTGCATGTTTTTCTCCTGTTAGTCTGTCTTTGTTATAGACAAAGTTGTAGCCATAGACCTAGATATTTTTTCCTTTCCAACACTGTGGGTAATAGGCATGCTGTTTCAACACTAGGGCTCAATCCTTGAAGAACAATTTGCTGTTTATCCCTCTGTATGTTCTTAAAGTTGGCTGGAATCACCCATGGGGTGAGCGTCCTTGTTATAATAACAAGACTCCGGGGCACTCAGTTGACCAAATAAACTTTGCATCTCTAACTAAGGTTTTCACACCAGGGGTGCTGGGCTAAGCAGGGCCTAGGAGCCCTCTCAGCAGACTCCATGATGAGCCCTGCCAGAATGGCAGTGTTTTGTGGAAAGGGCGTTTGAATGAGAGGAGACAACAGCTCTGCGATTCACATCTCAGACCTGTAGAGCCACCAAAAAGGACAATGGAATGAAAGAATTTCTTAATGGCCTCTGTTGTGACAAGATGTCCCGATAAAAATAACTTCAGGGAAAAGGACGGTTCGGGCTCACAATCCCAGGTTATGGTCCATTGCCAAGGAAGTCAAGGTAAGAAGACCTTGAAAGAGATGGTCGCAGCACACCCACAGCCAAGAGCAGCTAGCAATACATATCAGTTATAGAGTTCTAAATTCCTAGAGAATGGAGCCACCCACAGTGGCAGGGTCTTCCGACATCAATTATCATAATCAAGATAATCTCCTGTAGACGTAACCACAGTTTAGCCAAATCTAGGGAGTCCCTCACTGAGACTATTTTCTGGGATGATTGAATATTGTATCTAGCTGACAAAACTGACCAGGGTAGTGGAGAATGGTGACCCCTAGGAGACAAACTCTGAGATCTTACTTCTAACAGCTCACGATATTTAGGATGTGAACGAAGCCAGGAAAGGAAGCAGGGGTTCGAGTCTAGAGATAATCACAGACTTAAGTTATTCGAACACGGTTTTAGGGTGAGTTGAATGTCACCATATCATCTGTCTTACTTTGCCACTAGACCATACGTAAGAACTAATTCCAGATAGTGAATCTCAGCAAGAATCCTAGGCAAGCCTTTTCTTCTCTTAGGAAAATGTATTAGAAAGAAGTCCATTACCCTGTGTACCAGAATTCGAGGAAGAGTTCAGTAGAAAACAGAGTAGGAGAGCAAAGAGGACAGACAGGTTCCCGTGATTTGCAGGTTTTCCCCAGACCCTTAACACCTCATTTGCATGGGACAAGGATACATTGTAACTGTAAAGAACTAGCTTGCATAAGTAAAGCAGTGACCCCTCCCCATGCAAAAAAAAAAAAGGTTAAAGTTTCCTACATCAATGGGTACACAGGTGCACAAGGGTATGTACATACATGTATGCTCATGCGTGGGCACACAGACACAGCAAACACACCTGCAGAATGGACCTTTCTTTCCTCATGACTGTCAGGAGCTATGGTGTCCCTCCATTACACAGCACGGTGAGCAGAGGGGCTCATCCCAGGACTTGGAGGTGTTTTGGTCAAAGGCATGGAAGGGATGAGTCTGTTTTTGCTGACTCCCACGGGAAGTGGTGGGCGGAATCCAGCTACAGGCTTTCCTGTGTGCTGTAAATTGAGCCAGTGTGGGTAAAGCATTTTTCTCTGATGAAGAACGAAGCCTGTCTGCATGCCAAAACTGGGGAACTGAGTTGTGTCTCTGCATCTCTGTCTCTGTCCATCTCTCTGTCTGTCTTCTTGTCTGTCTGTCTCTGTCTCTCTCTGTCTCTTCTACCTCTGGTTCTTTCAAGCCATTTTCATTTTTGGCAGTCACTCAGGGCTCTGGGGTTCTTTCTAGTTTCTCACATGGTTTTCATTAGGGAAGAAAAATTCAACAGACAACAGCATTGATGTTCTTTTTTCCCTGTCCCTTTTGGGAAAAAAAAATGTGTTTAATTGTTAAAGTTTATGTTTATATTAAAAGTGACAGACAGTATAGGTAATTTTAAAATACCCGTTTTAACCTACTTATTTTTTAAAGCTGCCTTAGATCTTTAAATGTACTAAAAAGAAACTATCAAAAACCCTTCACCAAATGCCATTTGTTTTCCAGAAAGATCCACCCGAGTTGATGATCAGTTATCTGGCTTCTGAGTCCTGGTTCAGCATCTAAGCAGCTCTGTGATTTTTCTTTTTCTTTAAGCTTCTGGCGTTAACTCTCTCATCTGTAACCACGGCTAAGTTAGATTAGGTCATCTTCTGGGAACCTGCCTGGTGCATATGACTCTCTTCCCAGTCAACCACCATGTTGGGGAGTTAGACCTCTCCCAGCTGGACTTGGTGACAGCTTATACCTCATCGTGGATGAGCAAGCATGGTCACAAGAGCCTCAGCGGGGTGTACTACTACCTATGAAATAAGACAGGGCACAAAATTAAAGCACACTCCAATTTAATTCCGTCGTGTTATTGATAAATCATGTGCAACAGGGTCATGGATTTCAGAGCTGTTCACAGGGTATGGCCTTCAGTGTGTATGGACACAGTCAACGAAGCCTGAAGGAGGTACTGTTTTGACCATAAATGGCCTGGAACCAGAGTGCAGACTCCATAAAACGTCCTACTTGACAGCTGTGGGATTTAGAATTTGTCTGAACCTTGGTTTCTCTAACTACAAAGCGGGGTTAACTTCAAATCTGACATGGAAACCCCAGCAACATAACAAGCATGGAAATAATTTTCAAATGGCAAGATAGTTGGCATATGTTCTGCTTGTTCGGGGAACATCTCGATATAGTGTGCTAGCTGCGGCCCTCGACTGAGCATGCGCTGGACAATTTTGACCCGTCACTCATTTCTCCCTGAATTACAGCTGCCTCTGGAAACATACCCAGTCATGGATGTGAATGAACAAGAAGAGTAGAAGCTTCCCAATAAATCCTTCTCACCAGATTGGGTGGGGCGAGTATTCTCTCTCAACTCTCCAAGAGGGGCTAGAAGTTTTACCAGGGGAAACATGTTCCACTCAAGGCAGAGGCCTAGAGCAGCCTGCCTTATTATGACCCTAGGAATTTTATTCAATTATTGACAAGTTTTTCAAACTTTTTATTTGGAAGTATTTTCAAACTTCAGTAACTTTACAAAATAAAATTAGTACAAACACCTACAAAGTTTTGTCTGTCTTCACTTCACATTTATTCATACGCTTTATTATGTGTGATCTGCCCTCCTGCTCGCCTATCTGTCTAATTCACCTACAACCTGTTTGTCTGTCTGTCTGTCTGTCTGTCTATCCATCCATCCATCCATCCATCCATCCATCCATCCATCCATCCATCTATCTATCTATCTATCTATCTATCTATCTATCTATCTATCATCTATCCATCCATCATCTACCTATCTATTTGAGGCTAGTTAATTTTTTTCACCCCTAAATATCTCAGTGCTCATTACTAAAGTATAATGTAGCGGGAGTATAGTTATCAAGTTCTCAGGATACTTTTTCAGGATTCATGGCTTCCACAAAAGACAGCAGAATGGCTGGGGGTCAGGATTCTGTTTCCACCTGATTCCTCACTAGTCCCTGTAAGTACAACATACAGCTTCTTCATGCCTTAGTCTGTATAACAAGGAAGGTGGCCTCCATGGCCCAGAAGGGCCTCAGGTTTATGCATCTGTTACCCGTGACATGATACATTCTGCCCTAGTTTTCCTGACCCTTAGGCTCCAGGCAACTTGGAGCAATACTTGTTGTGTCTAGAAGTTTGGAGAGGGAGGCGAGGAGGGCCACACAACCTCACCCTTGACCTTACATTGCATAACTTGATCCTTCTTTGAAGACATTTCCTGGCATAGTCGGCTCATCTCGCTAACATTTAAGTGCAACCGAGACATTCCACCCAGGGTTCAGTGGACCGCTATCATCAAAACACCCTGGTCCCAAAATACAAGCTACTGCCCTTTCTATCAGCGTTTATGCGTGCCGTGTGCTGAAGGGGAAAACGAGCTGGCATAAGCAGCAAAAGGAGTCGTTAAGTGTTGTTTTCCACCTCAACTTAGGGACCGTGATTTTTATTTCACCGTTTATTGAAAACAAGCCCATTTGCTAGTAAGAATATCCCAAGGTTGCAATGGAAAAATGAACGCTTACAGGCGCCCCTAACATTTATATTGCATACTATGAAATTGGGTTTTTATTGTAACGTGGAGGGGAAGTGTTTTTGCCAGAAGGATGCAGCTCACAATTGCTTCACTCCTCGGTGACCTGGAGGAACCGATCCAGGCTTTTCTACCCGCTTGTCGGCCTGTCAGACTTCTCCGTAGGAACGTGTGAAGTGTTAATGCTCCTGACACAGATGAGTTCCAGGGTCCACAACCTGCTGGATAGGTGATTTATGAGAACAACTGTCAATCTGAAAGAAAGAAAGAATAAAAACGTTCGCGGAGTGAAGCAAGGAACAAACCCCCCAATTGCAATGTAAACATCTTTTGAAGTTCGTGACATTTTTACAGTTGGGGGTGAGCTTTACTCACAGTTGTCTCTTGCGTGCCCCCAAATGACTATCATTACGATTATTCATCCCTCATGAGCCTGAGTGTCACCAGCAGAGGGAGGGGTGTCTGTGCTATTTTTAAACACAGAGCCTCAGGGAGCAGAGGACACATACCACATCCATGCTGTTGGAGGTTGGCCGCACCCTGTCTCACTGACAGCCCCAGGGCAGCAGCCCACACGGGGTGGGGGTGGGGGAGCAGGGAGGGCTCTACTGCAGCTTGTTCCAAGGGGAGTTATGTAGTCGTGAAGGCTTGCAGGTGATGAGAAGGAAGGGCGTCCCAGACCGGAGCTGACCGGAGCTCGAGCCGTGGTTACTGCTCACTGCGGTCTCAGAGACTGCCAGAATTCAGTCAGGCAAGAAGGTCCAGACTAGACCCAGATTCCGTAGGCACAGGGGACCCACAGGATGAGGTGAACGCTGCAAAACCAGAGGGCAGAATTTGGCTTTTGAAGAGTTTTAAAACACCTAGATTCTGAAGAATTGTGTGCGGCGAGGGGGTGGATTTATCTTTGCCAGATCAGGTTCCAAGAACACCGCGAGGTTCTGAAGTGTGAAGCCGACGTACTGCGAAAGCCTACCTACTCATCCAGCATCACTCCCAGGGGCTCTGCTGTTCCCTAAACGTTAAGTGCCCCTCCCATCATTGTCACCTCTGATGGAGGACAAGAAGGAACCAAGCTTACAGTTGTATCTCTAGAATACGCCAGTAAAAATCAAGTCAGGTGCCAGGAACGCCTCGCTCAGAAATCCCACATCTCTGCCTTAGAGAAAAAGATCTGTCCTGTTAGGTTGAGCGAATGGCCCTCAGATTGGGTCATAGGTTTTGGCGCTTTATCTGCATTTTTGCTTACCAGCCTTGACATACCACCATACAGACCGAACACCTCACCTAGTCTGATAGCTGAGCCGCTTCCCCAGTGTCAGCTGCTGTGGCGCTAAAGATAATAGACACGAAAGTGACTTTAAAGGTATAAAATACAAAAATCCAGAAGTATGCAGAAGCACATTTCTGAGTCTCTCTACCAAAAGATCATCCCCAAAGCCCTCTTTCCTTGTAACGGTCCAAGTCAACAAATGTGGCAGGATTTGGGGGACTGAGCATGCCTGCATTTCATCAATTTGTCAGGAAGCTGAACAATGTACCCATTAAAAACTCATAAAACTGGAAACCATAATTCTTATTTTTATTTATAACTGAATTCAGTGAGTTGGCACCAACCTTTAGGGAGAGTTTTTTTTTTTCAAAACAGAGCATGACTCTGAGTCAAAGCCAAATTGATTCCAGCTTTCTCAGCTTATGAACCTCTTTTTATTTTCTGTAGCTTCTACTCCCACCGCCATTGATGCCACATTACCGAGCCGTTGGTTCCATAGGCACCGCTGTTTTCCTGGAGTTCACGTGAAGAAGGACAGGGCCAGCCTTAGCAGTCCAATATCACTACAGAGTAAGAAAGTCCAAGGCCACATTTTATCAGTAAAAACAAGCACACTAGGAGACCAGTACTGCATTGTTATCAGTGAGGGATGGAAACAGGGATGGAGACACTAAAGAACATTCATTTATTAAACCAGTTATGTGGGTAGTGGCTTCTCCTTTTTTAATAAATTTATTTCTTTCTTTATTTTTATTTACTGATTTTACAGCCTGGTCACAGTTTCCCCCACTCCTTTCCTTCCAGTCCCCTGTTCCCCCGCCCCCTCCCACCTCCACCCCTCTGGCAGTGGCTTCTCTTAAGTCACATCTTGGAAACTTAATTGGATTCTTCTTAGGTGCCCAAACAAAAGGCTCACATACAGTAGCCTTTGCAATCCCAAAATCTGAACATACATTCTACATCTAGTCTTTACTGGGTGTATATCTTGAAATTTTACTTTAGTACTCTGGAATTTATACCTAGTAGGGAATCCATTTTCCAATATTACTTGGTTTTAGTGTTGTCTTGAAGAATCAAAGCGTTGCCTAATAAATGCCCATTGCATTTTTGGGCACGTACATATCACGTCAGAGGCCTCCACCCTATGTGGAGTTGTCCACTTGATTCCACTAATTAATGTGATATATCGCATGGATTGCTTCTCGAGCAGCAAACCATCCTGCATTCTGGGAATACAGCTCACTTACTCCTGGATGCAGGCTCCCACCTCTTAGCTGGTGTTGAGCTTGCTTTGCCAGCGCTTTCAAGAGGCCTTTTCCAGCAATATATAAACGGAATGTTGGTCTTCAGTTTCCTTTGGTGGTGGTAGGTAGAGTGTTTTGCTGGCTCCGATATCAGATAACGCTCTAAGAATGAGTTGTAACAGCTTCCCTCTTATCAAGTCTTTTTGGAAGATTCAGGGGCTGAAAAAAAAAATCTCAGAAACCTTGAAACTCACCCATTAATTCATTTGTGCCAAGGCTTCTCTGTACTGGGAGTCTTTTGACTTCTGACTCAGTACCGTTTCTAGTTAGAAGACTAGCTGGATCCCGTTTCCATATGATTCAACTGTGGTGGGTATTTCTAGGAACTTCAGAAAGTTCCCTGACTGGTTGACTCACAAATGTGGATGGCACCACCGTGTGACATGTGTTCTCATTATAAAACCAGTAGTGATGTTGCAATTCGACTTCTGATTTTAGCTTTAATTATTTGAGTCTCCTCTGTGTTCTCTTAGCCAGCCTAGTTAACACACTTGTCAATTTTGCTCATTGGTTCAAAGAACTGCCCGTTACTTTAATTGACTTTTTTTTAAAATTGCTTTTCTAACTTTGTAGGTTTGTTGGAGACAGGGTCCTACTCTATAGCTCAGGCTGATCTGGAGCTCAGTCTGTAGCCCAGGCTGGCCTTGAGTTCCTGGTAATCCTCCTGCCTCAGTTCTCCTGAGTGCTGAGATTAAAGTCAAACCTGTACCGTCACACCCACTGCATACTGCTTATCTCTGCTCAGAGTCGTTAGCTCACCCATTTGCAAACGATGGGGTTTGTTGTTTTTCTTTCCCTAGACATGAGAAGAGTGAAGTTACAGTACTGGTTTGGGTAATTGTTGTTGTTTTTGTTTGATTGTTTGTTTGTTTTTATCAAGACAGATTTTCTCTGTGTAACTGTCCTGGCTGTCCTGGAACTCACTACGGAGACCAGGCTGACCTTGAATTCACAGAAATCTGACTGCCTCTGACTCCCCAGTGCTTGGATTAAAGGTGTGTGCCACCACTGCCTGGTGATTTGGGTTTTTTGTTTATTTGTTTGTTTGTTTTGTGTTTTGTGTTTTGTTTTGAGACAGGGTTTCTCTGTAGCTTTGGAGCCGGTGCTGGAACTAGCTCTTGTAGACCAGACTGGCTTCGAACTCAGAGAGATCTGCCTGTCTCTGCCTCCTGAGTGCTGGGATTAAAAGTGTGCACCACTGCCGCTGGTGGTTTGGGTAATTTTTAATATAAGATTTTGCTTGGAATTTGCTTTTAGAATTGATTTTTTTCATTCTATATCTTTTTGGTATGTAGTGTTATATATTTGTTTTACTCATCTCCAAGTAACTTTATTTCTTTTGTGTCTTTTTTTGATCAACTAGTTAAAAATTTCTTGTTTAGTTTCTACATATTTGAATTTGTTTCTTGTCAGTCTTCCGCCATTTAATTGTTGACTATCCCACTATAGTCAATATGTAATTATAGTTGTGTAATTATAATATTTTGAAACTTATTGAGACTTGTTTGTGGCCATTTTGATGAATGTTCCATATATAAGTGAGAAAAATATGCATTATGTTATTATTTGGTAGGGTGGTCTATATGTCTGCCATATCCAATTGCTCTATAACCTCCATTAAGCCTACTGTTACTCATCCTTAGTTTGCTTGTTCTACCCATTAATTGGGAGGTACCAAAATCTCTGTATTGGGCTTTCTGTCTGTTTCCTTTATATCTATCAATATTTGCTTTATGCATAGCTAGTACATTCCCTTCATGAGTCAACCCTTTGAACAGTATATAATACTCATTTCTTAAAGCAGCATTTCCTTCCAAGCCAATTTTGTCTAATATTTCTACATAACTACTAAATTATCATTCTCTTAACTAATATAGGGATATAGTGTATTTTTGCAGACTTTCAACTCAGTTCTATATTTAGGTCTGAAGTGAGTCTCCTGCCCATAGCTCATAGCTCTCACTTGAAAAGAAAATGATCTCTGTTGGTGTATACCTTTCAAGACATCCACCTTAATGCAATCACTTCTAAGGACAAGTGTGCTATTTTTAGCTTGTTGTTTCTTTCTGTATGTCTTACATAGACATTGTTGGGGTTGCCAGCTTCTGCCACTGCTTCCTTTTCTGTATTTGGTGAGTTTGGGTAGTAGCGTCGGTCTTATCTAATGTTATGTGTATTCTAGAAATGCTTTCTTTATTGAAACCATGACAGTTTTGTACACTCCTCTACAGTTACAGCAACCTAATTCGAATTGATATGAAATTAACCTCTAGTACACACAAGCTGTTTGCAGGAAGTGCTTCCCTGTTACCCTATTAGTAATCTTATATTAGCATTTACATATTACATAAATGTTATATATTACTAACAGATTTCTAATTGCTTCTTATTGATGTGCCATCTAAATCTTGTAAACACTAAAGAATAAGATCAAAACCTCATTTCAAAATACTGACCGTTATGTTGCTCAGGTATCGACCTCCAATGAAGAGTCTCACATCTCCTTTCAGTGAAAGGACTTCCTTTAGATCTATGGTTACTTTGTTATAGAGTCTCACCATTAGTCCAGGCTGGCCTTGAATCCACTGTGTATCCTAGGGTGTGTTAGTAGTGGCGGCAATCCTCCTGCCTCAACCTTCAGAGTGTTGCGATTACGGGCACATGCTACTGGGCCTGATACAAACAGTTCCCTTCACGGTTTCCTGTGAGCCAAGCGTGGAGCTGAAAACCCCCTTTAGGCGCTGCATGTTTCGCTGTTTCTATTTACAGTCTCACTTGTGAGCAGCTCCGCCAAGCACAGAATTATCAGTTGACATCGTTTTTAGAATTCTGGGTAGATCGAACCCCACAGTCTCTGGTGTTTTAGTTTCTGCTGAGAAGCTGGCACACCATCTGACTGAGGGGGCCTAAGTCTGACAAATTTTTCTCCATTACCACATCTAAGAGTTTCCCCTGGCTTTGGCTTTCGCCAGTTGATTGAAGTCTGTCTTCATGGAGGTCTCTTCAAATCCTACCAGGTTGAGACTCAGCCAAGACTGCTTGATTCATGTCTTTTATGAAACTGGAGGACATATTTTTTTAAATTAAGCTCCTTGCCCTTTTCTCTCTCTGCCTCCACTTGGGGTTTCCATAGTGTCTGTGTTGGTCTCGAGGAGTCCTTCGAGCTCTGCCCACTTTTGTTACGCTGTTTCCTTTCTGCTATGCAGACTCAATAATTTCAAATACTTTACACTCAGTGTCTCTGAGTCTTTCTTCAGCCATTTCCAGTCTGTTTCTGAACCCCAGCACCTGCTGTATTTTAGTGATGGTAGCCCTGAGCTCCAGAGTTACTGTTGGGTTTTCTGTCACAATTCTATTGCCATTGTTGGCACTTTTTCTCGATGTCTTCTTGTTCTTTGTCCACATTTCTCTTAGCACTTCGAGCACATTTAAAAGATTTATTTTAAAGTCTGATCTCTGGGATCTCTTGGGGACAGTCATTGTTGATTCTTTTTGTCCACTTTAATGAGTCATAGTTTCCTGTATGAGGACATTTTATTCTCATTGTATCTCATGATTTTTTTTCTTGTTAAGCATTGATCATTTGATTATTAAAATGTTATGATTCTAAAAGTCACATTTTCCACTTGCCTCAGTATTTGCTGTTGTGGGTTTGGTTTGATTGTTGAAGACGACAGCAGTTCTTTTGTTTAGAGATCTTGTTTTTATACTGTCCTTACAAAGTGTTCCTTACCCCGTGTGCCCACTGAAGTCTCTGTGTCTCTAGTTATGTAAAGGTAACGTTTTGATCAAAATTCTTGAATGCAGGAGCATGGTTCCGTGGGTAAAATGCTTACTGAGAGAACACGAGAACCTGAATTCAGATCCCCTCTATACATTTCATGCATACAAACAAGCGGGTGCAGCTACACCTACACACCCACCCACCCACCCACCCACACACACACACACACACGTACAGCACACACACATACATACACACAAAAGAACAAACATACACACAGAAACAAACATACACACACACATACAAACACACACACATGAACAAACATACACGCACACACAAATAGAGGGTCCCCTTTTGATTCTATACTGTAAGTTGCCCTGCTTTGGTTTGCTCTCACCTAGAGACCAGACGTAGTGGAACTCTAAGGCTTTCCTAACTGCTAACATTCGTGTTTATTAAGGTGCACAGGTAGCTTCTAGATCACCCTCCAAACAGCTGTTTTTTGCTGTCCTGATTTCTCAAGAAGATTCATTCCAGCTTCTCCT